ACACACACACACACAAGGCGGCGAAGTTTCAGGGAAACCATAAATGCTTGATTATAAGCACTTCAAACGAAACGGACGTCATTTTTAGTATCAGCTGTAATGGAAATTCTTTGTGTGTTAAGCACGCGGCCTTCCATGGCCTCTACATCTTGTTTTGACATAAACAAGTCATGCAGATCAGCAAGGATCAAAAGTGCGATTTCCGCACAACTTGGATCACCTTTGCTTTTTGAGAATACAACCTCCAAGGCCTGCTGAGCATTTAACCACTGCTGCGAGAAGACATATGACAACGAGCCTCCAAAAACGCTACGAGACATGAGGGAATAATTATCTTTGGGAAAAAGCGGACCTGCCCCACACCAGCACCTCATAATTTCTCCAATAAGAACCCACCCTTGCTTACGCACGATTGACAGTGGATGTTCCCTTACAACAAGTATAGCAAACGTCATGAGATTTTCGCAAAGGGCGGGTGCGACATGACGAGCCGAAGTCATGCATTGTACCACTGTACCAATGCTTCGAAGTATTTCCGTTGGTGCGTAGGGGTCATGTTCACGAAAAAAACAAAAATGATCATTGTCAGCTTTTTCTAAAAGAGCTCCTACAAAAAAAGAGACTACACCTGTCAAATAGCTACAATAAATTCGTTCTTTGCGATCCATTCTTTCTGCCACGGCATTTCCCCACCGCCGAGTCTCCTTTCCTTCAGAGACTACAATCGACACTGGTGTTGCGTTTTCCTTTCGTATGGGAGGGTAAGTTCGTTTCCTTATTCCTTGATCCTTCCAAGCATCATCTTTCTGAGCGGCCGCTTCTTCTTTTTCCGAGTTCACATGTACTTCGATCTGTGAGATATACTTGGCTGCTTCACCAATGGCCTTGGCCATTTCAACACGCTGAAAAATGCCATAATGGCTTGAATACAACATTTTACCAATTTGACTTAATGCATTCTCAGGAACAATAGTAATTAGCGAGACCATAACTGCGTATCGAAGATCCATTAACTCCTTATGTTGAGCCTCTGGGGCATGAATAGTAAGCGACATCAGTGCCGGAAGAAGCGAGGGAATCATTGGGTTAAGCTCCCTCCCAATCTTTTCGCGCGACCGTAGAAGCTCACCATTGACGTTCTGTTGCTTCCAAACGCCAAGTTTGCTCTTGAGCCTCTGCAAGGCGCGGGCAAACCCACGAAGTCCACTTTCTACCGCTTGTTGAACCTCGTAGGCCTGGGCCTGACTGCTCCGCCCTACGCCCATGACGGCGTTGTAGGACTCACGCAGGGTGACAAGCACTCTCACGTTCTCCTCCAATTCATCTTGCTCATTGAAGATTTGCCCAAAAGATGGCAAATTCGCATGATCCACGATTGAAGCTGGATTAAAAATCACTGTTCCCCCAGACGCCGAAGTAGCATTTTTTCGCGTCGTTGCCGAATCGTTTCGACAAAAAAAGGTAAAGGGGCTATCCGGATTAAGCGGATATTCTTCATCGTCTATGCCCCGACGACGGAAAAGGGGCGGCTTCTCTTTACCGTGGGTAGCACCCTGCTGGGCTTCTGTCGGAGGAAGCAGTGCCACTTCGGCAATCATCGTCGGCTCCACCTCACTCTTTAACCATTCATTAAGAAGACCTGGAAACTGCTCCAGATTTGAAAACGCGTTCCGCGCCTCATCGTCTCCAACGAAAAAAGTTGCAAACGCCGAAGCCACAGTTATGGCTTCATTTCTCAAACTATCTGCTCGAACAATTTCAAAGCGGGCAGAAATTCCAGCCAACAGAGGCTGAAGCAAAACAGTGGGAAGGTGCTCCTTTGCATCCTTCACGTGGTATTCCTTGATGTCAAACAGCGTGTACAAAACGGAATTTGCCAACGTGGTATTCAGTTTCACGGACTCCTTTTCAATGACATCACGATTGCCCCATCTTTGCATCAGCTCCGTGAATACAGTCTTCTTGATCTCCGGAAGTTTTGCCTCTCCCTCCTCTGAATGCTGCGGCAGGAGCCTCGGAAGAAGATCTCTGAAAATAATGCGCAACACAGCCCGCTCAGTAGGCAAATAGGAAGTTGCTGTCACAAAAATCTCCTTCACTAAAGCCTTTGAAATGGCTATTGTGTCACTAGAAGTTTCAGCCGTATTGCTTGGAATGTTAATCATTTTTGTTAATGAAGATATAAAAAGTGGCTTCAATGCAGAGTTCCTTTCCGCCGCCCGCAAACACCACACATTCCAGTCTGACCAATACCTACCTATGTTCGGCTTAACGACCGCAAGACTCCGCATGCTCGTGTCTGGAAATTCCCCACTTCCAACGTAAGACTTGTAAACAGCCTTAAATACAAATGGTAGTATCTCTTCGGAGGGATTCACAGAAGGCAAAGCCGCCTTTAGGGAGCCAATGAAACACTGGAAAAGGGTTTGAGTAAGCCCACGCCGGAGCAAAGAATTTATCAACACCTCACAGACAAGAAGAGCATTCGTCTTGGTGAACTCGTATCGATTCATGCTAGATGATACGTGCACCGTTTCCCTCGGCGCTGCCTCGTGTAGTGCGAACAAAAACTGCCACAGTGACTGACAGATGCGTGTTACCAAAAGCTCAACATCCAGTTCAAGAGTGTTTTTAGGCCCAAATGTGCTCATCAGCGCATTCGCCACGCGATCTGGTAATGAAGCCACAAAGGTACACCGTGTCTGAAGGATTTGAAAATCCATCTGTGAGGGTTCTTCTTTTCTCAAGCTACTGGCAAATTCGCAGAGAAACCTCACCAAAGGTGTGGAAGTTGCCAGCTCTACAAGTTCGTTTTCGGATTTGCAGATGATAGCTTCCGGCTGTGAGTCCAGACTGAGCATACCTATCAGGTGTTCCATGGCGTCCACCGGCGGTTTGCCAGAAAGGCTCACAGAACCATCCGCGGAGGCCGGTCGCGCGAACTTCGACAGGGCCAGCTTGGCCCCTTCGTAAAGCGAAACGCCCTCCGTTGCGAACATTTATCCTTTATAACTCCGCTTTTTTTTATTTTTTTTTTTCGGCAGTGGCCGCGTCACACTATCTAGGGCTTGGCGCCGGGGCCGAACACAAAAGGAAAAAAGAAATAAAGAACATGCGCTTCGCCGGCCCCCCCTCCAGGCAGGGGCGGGGTGGAAGCCGCCCCGCCCCGACGCCGGGGTACCGCGGGATCGGGGCGGC